GGGGGGGGGGGGTACCATATGTATAGGTGTATATTTATATTTATATTCATGTACGAGAACTTACTATGATCTAAATAGTTCATATTGAATAATAAAATACAAAATGTGTTTCGAATTTCTTTCCATTGGCTTTTAAACATTCGAAATAGCATGAGCCTCAAATTTAACTTGTAGAGGTCAGAAGAAAATCTTTAATTAGAGAATAAATCTAGATCTTAATAATTTCGCTTTATCATGAATCATTTTCTTCATATTATGAAATCAAGATGTCATTCATGATGAGTTCGTTTTCAAATGTCTGGCAATCTCAGCATACTATTCTGCAACGGGGGGCGTGTGGTGAGCATGGATCAAGCGACCTTGGTAATCAGCAAGGCAACAATAAGCCTTGGTTGTGTTGTTGAGCTTGGCCTCTGACGGGCGTTGCCTGAAAAGAGTAAGAGCGTCTTGCACCCCCGAGCGTGCAGCAAGGAAACACTCTGGTTCTGGCTTTCTGCGTTCATTACCGGACCTGTCGCCCGACCGCCAGGTCAAGTCTTGAAGAAACTCAAGGGAAGCTCCAAAGACACGCGGTCTGAGCAGTCTGGCCTTCGCTTCAAGGCCTTCCAGTGGCCTCGAGGATCTGAGTGCTTGCCCCTTGGCAAAATGCAAGCGCTGTTCATCTGGAAGCCTTGGTCCACTGGAGTTCTCTCGGTCTTACACAATTCTGCAGCAACTGAGCAGTTTTCCCTCCGCTTAAGAAGTCGACCGTTCAGCATCGCACCCAGGCAGGTGGCATCGCAGCCAACGAAACGCAGCGCAAGTCTGAGACGTGGGTGCATTGCGCTCACATCAGGAGTTCCCGTTGTCCTTTACACAGCTTCCGAAATCTGAGATCTGATCCCAGCTCGTCGCCGATCACTGTGATTGCCAAAGCTGCCGTGGACAGTTAAGTCCTCGCTGTGAGTATTTTCTGTGTCAACCCGCCCCACAGCTCAAAAACACACAACAACTCTGAAGACAGCCGAAGCTGGTCAAGACAGTTATATACGTTGCGCCATTGGCCATTGAGCCCGGTGCACTATGCAACGATGCTTCTCCGGCGTGTAGCCTTTGCGGAACCTGGTACTGCCATGCTGGTAGAAGCGAGGCAACATCAACGAGAGAGGGAGAGAGAGATGCGTGTATACGCTGAAATGCTCATAAGTTTCAGCGCGGCACAGCTTCATGGGCCGTTGAGGTGTTGTATCTACATCCCAGGCTCTTTTGATTCCCATTCTGCTCTGCTCTCCCAATCTCGTCTGGGATTTTTTTTGGGTCCAAATCGCAGCACCCTATCACACGTCAGAGCGATGAGACTAGGTTCAGGACAACTGGTACAACTGCATTCGTAACCTCAGAGCTCAATGCAAAGACCCACACCACGAACATCTCAAAACTATCAATGCCCTTTCCGAGCTGCCTCACCCCAAGAACTTAAATCCCAAAACAAACACAAATAGAGAGACAAAGTGAAGCAACACACGGTGCATCCAATCTCGATGGAAGGCCACCTGCGCACCCAGGAGCTCTACATCCGGGATCTCCTGTAGGAGGCATATGCACCATGTATCACTTCAGCTTTGCCTTAAGGGAAGCATCTGCATCTGCCTGCGTCAGCAGGTGGTGGGTGGTATTGGTTGCCTTCCATGGCAATCGCCCAAAGCCTCACATGCACGTATATACACATACACACACTTAGTTCCTCCAGAGATTTAGTGGGTCTTTGCATCCTGCACCATGTCCGACTTAAAGCTGCATCAACGCTAAGTGCATTCTGACATCCCATACTGCATTCGTGCACTACGGACGATGCTCGATGCAATGAATCTGAGACAGGGAAGACTCTCCCAGCAGCTCGAGTGTCTGCTTAAGAGTTAAAGCCATCTACACACACTCCGCCATAAGCTCCGTGCGGTGACTGCCCTCTATGAAATGAACGGCCGCATTGGACTCGTCCACGTCATCGAAAGCGATCCACAAGGTCACCGCCCGCGACCTGATTGTTTAGCTCGTACAGCGCCTAACAAAATAGCTACAGCCAGGCTTCCCGCTCCGACAAAGGCCAGAAGCCCGCATCCTGCCAGCTGGCAGCCGTGCTGTCCACGCTTCGGTGGCACGACTCTCACGTGGTGGCCAAAGGATTGTGTTTGGTCTCAAGAACGAGAACGTCTAACTAGCGCACATGTCATTGAGAGGCTCCAAGGCTCTGAAAGCTCACGAAAGTGCCTCTGCTTGAAAATCCTCTTGAAACTACTAGGCGCCGAGTAAAGAGCAGCCTTTGCCTTTTTGGAGCTCTTGCCTCCAGGACTTACCTTCTTGGCCTGGCTGAGTAGGAACCCTGTTTGGACTTGAACTCGAAACGGTTCACTGGCGCTTCTGGGAGGAGCTCGAAGTCCAGAGATGAACCCAGGCACTGACAGTCGCAAACTGAAAGGATTTCTCCTGTGCCCTGTTTGTCCCTGCTCAGATTTCTTGCCGAATCCTAAGCGTTTCCCGAGGGCACGTCGGGGCTGTTGTCTTGGATTCGCTGCATTGTGGCTGGAAGTCCGTCGAAATTGTCGACGAGACCTGTGACGCATCTACGTAGATGTCAGATAACACAACGACCTGAGCGCTCTAGGACGCAAGAACCCCTTCCGTGCAAACCTTTCAATACCTTCTGTGGCTAAAGTTAAAGGCATGGGAACGTTTCGGAGCCACCAGATATGGTTTCTTGGGCAGGTCCGTTTGCAACCCTTCCACAAGTCACAAACCCCACCATTCCGGAAAATTGGTGCAAACTTTGGCAGTACAGTCCAAACACTTGGGTTCAGCAGTCGGAGGGTATTGCATGTTCCAAGATATTGAGAAACACGCCAACCTGAGAGCCAAGTCAAGGCTTCGCCAATCCCCGCGCCGGATCTTAAGCCTTAGACTCGACACTTCGAGCTCGAAATTTGTTGCCCCAACCCAGGCTGTAATCTCGTTTCGCAAAGGCGGCTCGGCAAGTGCTCCTAGACACACGGATTCGTTGCCGATTGAACCTTCCGCGGCCCCCTCCACACAGCGAAACATCCAAGGGAGCTTCGTGTCTTTTCGCCTTGCTGCCCTTAACAGTTTGCATCTGCATCTACTCTCTTCATCTCTCTTCCATCAACAGACCAGCCTTCACACATTTAGTTTTTGGGCATGTGCCGCTGCTTTGTCATGTGGATCTTAGAGCAAGCTGGCGGTTGAAAGCAGTCTCGCCGATTCCGTCAGAGCTTTACGTGCAACAGAACCTGATCTCCGGGAAGAGTTCTTACCCGCTTAAATTCTTTGGGCCTGGTGCCACGGCTGGGAGGTCGGATCCCCGGGCAGCTTGCAAAAGAGGTGAGCGCTCCAGCAGCAGAATTGTGGCCTGGCAGGTCTTCATCTTCTCACTTTGACTATAACTAGACTATAACTATAACATACTTTAACTGTCCACATTCAGTACATGACAGATTCACCCCAGGATGTCCTGGCAGTCCCAGGCAGGAACAAGATTGAAGCAGTCAAGATGTAAGGTGCCACGACGAGATCCCGGCCTGGACGATGGCCAAAACCCTGGGGCTGGTCGCCATCTTCTGCACCAAAGCCTGACAAGATCCCGTCAGTTGCTCTTGCACAGGCTGTACTCAGAGTGATCCCATGGCTCGAAACATCCGCTGGCCATGTGAACAGAAAACTCGCGGATGTTGCTGCTCCATTCATTTCAGAAAACTCGGAACCGCTGACTGTTGCTTCAAGGGGCCACACCCATACTGACAAGAACGCTCCGCACGCATGTTTTACTCGCTCGCCTCCACGCCAGTGAGTGACTCTGTGCCTGACCGACTAGAGGCAGAGGGTGAGCTCGCTATGTACATCTCTGCCGACTGGCTTTGCGGCGGCTTGGCATCCTCCCTAGGCTGAAATGAGAACCCGGATGTATTGAGGATCAGCTTGCCTCGCGTCTGAGCTATCAGGTTGGCAGCAGCATACAGCAATGCTCCAGCAATGCCCAGTCCAGCACCAAGTAAATAGGAAGATGAAAGCACATGCTTGGTTCCGAAGATTTGATTGAGGGACCATTGAGGTAAAACTTTGACCTCGCCAAGAAGACCAACTGCCATGGCCGATGTTAGCCACGCCAACCAAGCAAGTGTGACATGAAGAACGGAAGTCAAAACGCCGCTGGCCAGTATTGTCGCCACACCGGCCACAGGGTAGGCAGCCAGTGCTTTCCACCAAGGGTCTGGATTTTTCTGAAAAGACCAGAGTCCGCTCTCCAACACCATGGCTGAGACAAGGGCTGCAAGCGAGGCCACCGCCAATTTCAGAACTGTGAACTCGACTAGGCTCGTTGTACCGCCCAGCCTGTTCCCTGGGTCAAAGAGGCCGGCCACACCCTTCCGAAGCGTTGAGATGCAGAGAGCACCAATAAAGGGAGCCAAGAGGTTCAGGAAGAGAGGCCAAAAGGGTGCATCGATGCCAGTTGCCAGGCCCAAGGCCACAATAATGTTACCGGCCAAGCTTACCAGGACGGCCGTCACTTCCAGAACACCCGGTCGCTCCGAGTTGATCGTAACTGCCAGGGCCAAGACCCACAGCAGCTCAGTGGCACCCAGGAGCACGTGCGTAGAGTTATCCACCAGTGACAGGGCCACATTGGTGACCGCATACTTGAACCCGAAAGCCATACCTGGTGGACTTGCGTACTTCAACTTGAAGCACAAGTGGGGCCCGAGAAGCCATGATGCTTGGCCTGACCCGGTGCTGGCGGTGCAGGACATTGTGTACTGCGAGAGATGGACGATGCCAAGCAGGAGGCTTGCAGCAGCCAGCTGCATGTGCGCAGCGAAGCAAGGGTATGGAAACTTGCCGAATCCAAAGCCACCATCAAAAACGCGCTTGGCATAGATGGGAATTAAGGAAACAAAAAGACACCAAAGAAGGCAGGCAAGCGTCACCTGCAACACATACACTCGGCTGCATCCGTCTGAGGGCATTGAAGCCTCAACGGTCCGCGACTCGGTCACACACACACACACCACTCTTTGAGTTCCGGAAAAATTGCAAATGGCAACAAGAGAAACTCCCAGTCAACAAACCTGCTGCGAAAGCTTCATGGCAGTCCAGAGGATTCACATTGTGCGAAGAAGCGCGCCTGGTGCAGCGGGCGACTCAGGGTATGTGCCGCACGGAATCTGAACTCATCATCCTTAGGCAGCAAAGCGCTCAAGCATCAGCTCCATGTGCACTCCCCTGCAGCAAACCACCTTCCTGAGTCCGTGACGGGCGCCCTGTCCTTTAGCAAAGCTTCTAGGCAGTCTCTGATTTGCATCCATGTCTGTTGATGGTGCTGCTTGCAGCTCGGGCGTCTGTGCGCTCTGCCAGCATGTCGTCGAAGTCTCTCCGAGCACTGGCCAGATCCTCACCATCCAGGATCTGCAATCCCAGCCTGCAGATCGTTTACCGAGGGCAACAGAGGTGTTTATTGTTTACTGCACAATGATGAGAGACTCCCCTCGAAGGCTGAGCTTCAAAGGCCCCAACAGGAAGCCACGGTCCCGGTAGGACTCCAACTGGGGAAGTGTCAGCGCATGACCTTTACACAGCACTGCATCCGCTGCACGTGTGTGACTGGATAACAACGGTACTTCCTACTCGTCCTGCCTTCGGCAGGGTCTTCAACCGAATCCTTTCGTGCAAGGGTGACCTGCCAGCGCGAGCTGCCTGCACTTACCCGCAGCTTTCTCGCAGTCGAGTGCCAGTTAGGCCAGTGCGTCGCGAAATGCATACTGCTTCAGCACCTCCAGCTCCTGCGACTATGCTTCCAACTGCCACGGTCACCCCCATCCACAGACATTCAGAGACATCCACAGACAACTGTCCGCCTCCGGGTGATCCCACATCCGAGATCTTTCTGGTAACTGGTCAAGCACTTGGCGTGGCCATGAAAGCCTCAGCCAGCGACAGCAACTCCATCCCTCCGCAGCGTGCCTCGGTGAGTCTGGCACTTTGAATGCAGCTGCTCAAGCTGGAAGGCCAGAGCGTCCTGTCATGGCAGAAATTTCACGCTGGTCTTTTTGCAGTCCATGATCAGAGGTCGTCTTTTGAATCCTCGTGCCCCGAACAAGTCGCAATTAATTTGCAAGGACTTTGTTCAGAGAGTCCACGCAATCCATTTTGTCCGAGTGATGATGCTTGCCCATCCGAGGGCTCAAACCACCCACGGATTAGAATCCTGCGCTTCTGTTCGCATTTACCCTCTCAACTTCTGTCAAAATCAAGCCAAAAGATCCACGGCCCAAACGCTAGTTTCAAACCCGGACTGCCTCTCTTGTTGAGAAGCAGCTCAGAACCTGCAAAGCTTCGCAGCCCATATTCTGAAACAGCCGTGGCAGCAGAGGTCTCACCTCCTCTCCGGCAAGATGAAGACGGACCACGTGAACTGAAGCATCGCAGCTTCTTGCCTAGCCATACTGGCGAACTGCACTAAGTGAACTTTCTGCTGGAGTGGAGGATATCGCGAGGGATGAAACCTCCCAAACGCCCCAGCGATCATCGAGCGTAGTTTGGTCGGGTCTTCGGTCCTGACGGCTGCCGGAGGCATAGTTTCAGAATCGATTTGCGACTCCTAGGCCGAGCCTCCTCCACAGCTGGAAGCGACCTTGTTGCAACAGACACAGTCACCATTTCGCACGTCTCTCTTTCAGACTACTGTCCTGAGCACCACACACCTTGTAGTCCCTGGCACTGCCAAGACCGAGACAAGGCATTGCTCAATAAGGCGGCGACGTCTGCATCAAATGCAACCAGATTATCACTATCTGTCTGCCTCCAGGCCTTGTTTGTTCCGTCACGATGTGCTGTAGTGTGTGTCTGTGTGTGAAACTGACGGCTTCTGCAAGTTTACATAGTTGACCTATCGTCATCTGAGCCAAGATCTTGCTCATCACTCTTGATGCGACTGTTTTCCGGATCTGCTAACACCTGCGCAGGAGCGGAGTTGTCCCATTTTCCGCGGCTGCGTGAGGTAGTCCGGACGGTACATTCTGTTGAATTTCAGTTGCACTGAATTTGGAAGATCCTGAAGGTGTCGGTGTAGTTCGGCGACGCTTCAGGAGCTTCCGTGGATAAAAAACTCAAACTAAGTTATGACCCTAATGCAAGCATATGTCCTGTCACAGAAGCAGAAACCCTCAAGGCTGTCTAGCTCCAGCAGCGCTGCGCCTGCGAGCGATGGCTGTACCGCAGTAGTAGAACAGAGTATGCTGGCTTAACACCGGTGAGAACTTGTCACCATGAAAGGAACATGTCATCCTGCAAAAAAGCCGTTGCATCACTGCAAACAACACCAGGGTGTCGCAGTCTCGCTCAAGAGAAGTCGACGAGATATGGTTGTTCCTGTCGTCTGATGACAACATATGTTGCAACTACATGGTGTTGCGACTTCCACTCCCACTAGGGGCAAAACTTCGGCTACTGCCAAGCAACCCGATGTCAAAAGATATGCTGCGCTATGCGGGACGACAGATGAAGCTCGTCTTGTACATGCTGGCACATTGTCATTCTTCTGTGCGAGTACATGACAGCTTCCTTGTAGTTGACGGCGTTGACAGAGTTTCCGTTCGCACCGAATCTGCATGCAGTGGCGTGACGGGCAGCCAGTGGACTAAACAACAAGAAGCCTGCACAGACTTTCACTGCGATCGGAGATGCTTTTTGCTTGCTTGCACAAGACACGCGACATGCAGCAGAAGACTGCAAAGTCCTGATGACACTGATATTGATATTGGTGATGGTATTTGTGTATTGAGCAGTGTGTCAAGTCAGAACCGCAGGCAGCCGCAGTCCAGACTCCAGACAGGTTGAGTTGTCGCATGGTAGCGGTTATGGCGAGAGCAAGGGTATACTTTCGGCCGAACGCTCTTAACATGTAAAGCTGGCCCGGCGAATCCTGTGCTTGCTTCATTGATGTAGCGTGACTGACAACGTGGGACGGACGTTGGAGGAGCACCTGGATGCCCCGAGCAGTTGGAACATGTGATTTCTGTCCCAATACTCTGATGAGGCGGTGCACAAATGTGCACAAGTCATCGAGTCCTGTGACTGGATTTAGAATTAGAGCTTGTTGGGACTGGGAGGACCGTCTCGTCTCGAACACCGGTGTCTTGATCCACCACAGAAAGCCAGCCTCAAGCGAGGCTAGAAGAAGTCAGCCTTCGCAAAAGTGCAGCTCTGGTTGGGGCCATGGAGGGATGCACTACTTGGGATCGGCTCAGCTCTCAAGGCAAAAGCCTGAAGCGTTGACTGAGCTCTATAGCGGGTCTGCCTAGCCTTCCATGTCCAGGTCGAGCTCCATCTTGAAAGGTGAGATGGACCTTATCGGGCTTCCAACAAAAAGCTGATGGGCTGCGAGGGCTGTGACGAAATCCGTTGAGAGCCCTGCGGTGGAGAAGGAATACAGAACGAGTCATCCTTCTCAGGCCATGGCTTCGGACAAACATCCGTCGACTGTTCTGGCCCTGGCCTTGATTCTTTCAGGAGTCAGCCTGCCGGACCATTCCTCTTGCAGAGGAGCGTTACTGGCAATGGCGTAAGTACGGCCCGCCCACCAGGCCCTCCAACGCTAGTCCTCCACCATTGGAATCGGAGGAAACGTGGCACAATGGTCCAGCCACTGTGCCTCTCAACGCACTCCCTGCGAATCATGAATTTCTGCGTTGCCAGTTTTCGGAGAGCGGCGTCCAAGTCCGCAAGCTCCATGGCCTTGCCGAGGCCTTCTGCCTCAGTCTGCATCCCGGTATCCCTTCTCAAGGAAAAGTTCCCTCATAAACCTTCGCCTAGTGCCTGAGCAGCTGGCTAGGATTCGTGGATCACCGGGTCCGCCCTGGAAGCCATCTTGAGAAGGGTTCATGATGCCGTGATGAACGGGCCCCGGCCTCCCACAGTGGTTGCCAGAAGCTGTCCTGCTCCTTCGAGGAAACATGTAGCTACTCTTTACAGGCAAGCTCCTGGATGCCTCCTGCATAGCAGCCCAACTAATCTACTACGTCCTCCGTAGGAGGAAGGTCGGCATGCTCTACGTCTGGAAGATCTCCCTTCAACGGAAGAATATTATTCAGTGAAAGGCACACTCTGAGCAGAAGCAAAACTGGCAACCACAAGCCGCACTTGGCTCAGGCACCTCATCGAGGCCAGTTCTGTTTCTTGGCAGCCTGCAGTCGGCAACCGCAACCAAGCTCGGTGAGAAAACTGTCAGCATTGATTGTGCAATGGTCTGGTCGAGAGCTGAATCTAACTTTGGGATACTTTGGGGTTACCAAGTTTCGGGGGTCCTCCACTGTCAGCCTTACGTTCTGGGCAGTAACGTATAAGTATAGGCAGACCTCCGCGGAAGCTTTAACGGAGCTGCACCCGGAGCTGTGCCGGAGCTGTAACGGGGCAGCTGTAACGGAACCGCAGCGGAGCTGTAACGGGAGCTGTAACAGAAAGTAACAGGAGCAATGATGCTGTCTGTAACGGAGCTGTGATGGGAGCAGCAACGTAGTGGGAGCTGTAACGTGAGCTGTAATGCCAGCTGCAACGAAGCTGTGGCGGGAGCTGTACAAAGGGAGCTGCAACATCCTGTACGGGAAGTCCCAGCGACGGCCCTGCTGGTAGAGACGCCCCAAATCTAAACTGGCTCTGTCGCACCACGACCACACAACTTGAGCAGACCAGGATCCTAGCAGCCTCGGTGCTGAGAAGGGATCTCGAAGCGAGGGGCGGGCTTTGTTGACCTCTACGACAAAAAGAAAAACAAAGAACTGCAGCACCTCGCATGCAACACGAGCATGCTGTGGCTTCCGGCAGCGACTGTCCCACCAGAATCGTTTTCGCCTGCCGTTGCGACGGAGGGTTTGAAAGGCTGCAATCACGCCAAACTCACTGGAACTGAAGGATAGCTGCACCTCCAACGAAAACTTCGAATGGTCGTCGTCGTGGGGTCTGAGGTGGTACTCGCAATTCGTGGAAGGGCTTCCTCCGTCCGTGTGTTCGCCCGTGGATCCGTGTTGTTGGACCGCAAATGTCTCGTGCACACAGCTAGCGCATTCAGATTTTTCAAATCAAGTAGAATTCAGAGCACGCAAAATGCCGCAAAGAGGCTGTCCAGCATCGCCCTGGGATTTGTGCTTTCTCGTGCTCATGACTGGGCGGCTGGAGTTGGACGGGTTTGCTCCCGACAGAACCGAGGCTCCAGCACCTTGCCAATTCCTGTTGGACAAGTCGCCCAGCACTCGCCTGTCGATTGGAGGCTGCACCCGAACGACAGATTCGAGAGACACGATAAAATCAGCCCTTGTACAACATGGCAACGGCAGCACCCTCGAAAGCATGGAAACAGTTGGAGTTTATGGCATCACCTCCGCTCGGCCCCCCTCTTGCCGGACAGCCTGATGCCAAGGAGAGCAGCGCAAGCTCTTTTGCAGCTCAAGGCAGCAAGAACTTGTTCATTTTAGATGCCATTGCCGTCCGAGCGGTCAGATCTCGGGGGAACTGAGGAGCCAGCTTGCCACTCGCAGGCACCTGCAAGGTGGGAACAAGTGAAACCATCTCGAACAGAGTTTCGGGGCTCGTGCTTCCTGGAGGGCTGGCAATGGACTCGATTCAGCCTGCTCACGCTCGAACGGACCTGCATTCACATCAATGGCCGAAAGGGCAACTCGGAGTGCTGCCAGCAAAGGCGGCCGCTGCGCCATTGCCTTGGGAACTTTACGAGTGCATCAGGTCAAGTCATCGAGATCCCAAGCCATTCTGGACTTTGTCAGAGTTTTTTCACGTTTACAGTTAGGAAAGGGGCCTTCAAGAGGCCTCGCTCTCGGGCTCAGGCCAGTCCGTCCCAACTCCACCAGCGCTCGTATCAGCTCACAGTTCACAGGACACAAAGTCGTAGCGACTCCCTGCAGCTCCTATCAGCTCCTCTCTAAGGATCTCTGTGAAAAAGCCGTCTATGCCATGTCATGACGGTCTATGATGCCCGCACTGCTCCAAATCTGAAAACCGAGTCAATGACCGCGCCTAGACCACGTGGACTTCTAGCAGTCTAGCAACACAAACACAACAGTTGGCTCAGCTGCCATCTGTCCTCCGACAATGCTCAGGCAGTGCGAGTTCGAAGACTTTTCTGCCAACTCAGTCGACGCGATGTGGCACTGCAGCAGACGTTGGCTGCGATCTGCCTCGACCGTGAGCACCGTCTGGCCGATTAATGCTGAGCTCCGCCGGCAGAGATCCAGCATCGAAGCATGCGCAAGGCAGCTGCTGTTATTCAGCTCTCGTCTGACCTTGCTTTCTTCTTGCTGCGGTCTCTGTCCTTCTCCTTGTCCTTGTCCTTTTTTTCTTTGTGATTCTTATCCTTTGCCTTCTCCTTATCCTTTCCTCTGTCTTTTTCTCTGTCCGCATCTCGCCGTTTCCGATCCTTGTCTTTGCTGCCTTTGTCTTTCTCGTTGTTTGTGTCCTTGTCTTTGTCCTTTGCTTTGTCGGCGTCCTTACTCTTCTCCTTGTCCTTCTTCTCACGCTGCTTGTCTTTGCTTTTGACAATCTCAGAGTCCTTCACCTTTTGCTCTGCACTGCTGCTACTGCTGCTGCTGCTTTTGGCGTCGTCCGCGTCTTCATCAGGCTTACTTTCGTCCACCTTGATGTTCTCCCGCAAGACATCCTGCAGACGTTGTGGAGAAAAGCTGAAACTGCAAGATGGGTGAACTGCAACTCTCCTTCGTCTTGTCCTTCTTGCTCTCAGCGGGAGGTGGCCTAAGTGAGTTCCATAGCTTTCCGGCACGGATCCATCAGGACCGATGCTGTCCACTTCTAGCCGTTGTCGGCGGGGCTGTCTGTTCTCCGCTCTGTGTTGCAGGACCCTGGGATCTGAGGCAAAGCTCCCCGGGTTCACAACTTCACACAGCTGAGCCTGCCCGTAAGTCGAAGCCCCGCATTCGTGCGGAGCAAGCTTCACTAGCCTCACCAGCCAGTCTACGTAATACGCAGTTAGCCTTGGATGCAGGAAAGTGCCAGTGGCAGACGTGGACTTCTGTATGCGCCAGAATCGAAGTTTCTCCATTTCCGGTAACAGGGCGGTGACAACACCCATGTTGTGAAGCTAGGAAACGCTTGATTCCGGCGGAGGCACTGAAACTTTTGCTCACTTGAGTTCCGTTCACGACGTTTTCGACTCGCCTCATACGGTTACCAGGCTTGCTGTGCGCATGGAGCTTTCCGATTTGCTCGGTGCCATACGGACGGTTTCAGTCGGTGGCTTGCAGCGCTTTATCCGGGCCTGGAGTGGATTGATTATAAGATGTCAACAACTCCACACCTGGTCATGCAACTGGCTTGGGATTCCTGAGCAAGCGCGTGGCACGCCAAGCCGTGGCCCGGCTTGCGTTCTCCCAGCTGCACTTCCTGATAAGGAAGAGTCTCTAGCCGATTCTAGCGGGATGCCGGAGCTGAAGGACCTATGACACTAGGCCACTAGCCCTTGACGCAAATGTGAAAGGCTCAAAGCCAGCGGTGCGATGCCACGAAGCTTCAGAGTCTTCTTAACTGGTGGTTTGATCTCCGTGCTCTTCGTGGCCGAGCTGTGACATGCGCTGCAAGGTGCACGTTCACGGTGCTCCAGCGATATCAACGCCGAAGGCGGACGTCAAAGGTGTTTTCACAACACGCACAACACGTGTGGCCGAGAATTGCAGTGGACCGACCGTGCGTTGGCACAACGTAGCGACCGTTCCAAACCTCCAAGCGGACGGTTCCTGTACATGTGGACGAAGCTGATAACCAACTGACGCAGATGCGGCAGGCTTAGCGTTATCGCTTTGGCTTGTTCATTTGGGCAGTTGCTGATGTTGCTGCGTGCCCCTACCGTACCTACTTGCCTGCTATTTGTAAAGTTTTCTTGGCACCCACATATCGTGCCCTGGCGCGAATTTGCTGCACCACCCTAGCCTTGTCGAACGAAACGGAGGTATCAAGAAATACCAATATTCACAGCACCTGAAAATGATTGAAAATGCCCTAAGCGTCTCTTGGTGCATTTTGAAAGTCGAGGCCGAGATGCGGAGGTCCACGGACTCGCAACTGGAACTTGCTGCGGCTTTGCATGAGCTCACGGCAAAGGTCAACCATGGCCTGGCCAGAGATATCTTAAGACAGAAGCCATAGCCGAATCGACTCAGATCCGCCTGAGCATCGTGTGCAAAACCGTTGACGGCCACAATCCGATCACCAGCATGGACAGACAGATGAGCAGGATGCCTGGGAAAGCCCATGGGAACACCCCTGAGTCGATAAAATGCATCTCCAGCTCCCCCGGTGCACTCGTGGGAGAAAGGTAGACCGTAGAATACCGTAGACCAGGCTGCCGAGTGTCTTCCTGTTCCACTCTTCAACTGCACCTGCCTGCAAATGTCTCACGTACAAAGATTTGCCACTTGCACAATCCACGTCCAAGCCGAGCTGAGAGTGGAAAGCCATGTCCACCGTGACCTTGACAGTTGACAATGCACACTCGGATGAACAAATTGCTGCGTGACTAGGTCCACTGGCGCAGCACACCCAGCAAACAGCCGAGTTCGTCGCATTAAAGTCGAAGAACTTCGGGCTCTGCTTCGGCTTTCCTCGCGGTGCTGACTGTTCCATTGCCGGCTAAGGCCTCAACCAAAGCCTGCAACTTCTCAACGTACGGCAAAGCCGATGCCCTTATTCTGGGCCAAGCGTCCCCCATCTTCTGAGGACGGCAATGCTGCTAGCGAGTTCTGAACGGCAGACGCTATGCTCGAAGCCACTTTCTTCACTGCCTTGGATACATGGCCACACGCTGCACTCCAGATCGACTCGCACAAGCTTTCCCAGACCGACTCCGACTCCACCAAGCTGGTCCGAGGCGAGGAATGAAGAAAACAACAGGTTTCCAAAGAGATTGCCTTCAGCAACTGAGCTGCATCGTTGGATCCTGTTCTGACCAACAAGGAAAGTTGCTTCTCTTTCTTGCACACGGCCAGCATGGCCTTGTCAGGGCGAGGGCGGGGCAGATGCTGGCAGCGGCCAGAGCCGGTCCCTGCCAGGTCGGGCCCTGCCTTGGGGTCGCCTGCCTTTCCATTGATCGAAATGATCCGATCACCGGCAGCCACCGCATTGGCCGCATGCTTCTTGTTCCAGGAAGGCACCGCGCCTTCAGCCTGCCAGAGAAGTGCCTTCAACACATACCCCGGTGCCCGGTCTCCCACCTTGACACTCTTGATGAAAAGAGTCTTTCCATCTGCCCAGTCAACTTCCAGTCCCAGGCCGGCGACCTTCGTCAGGTCCAGATCCACCGCAAACTCCGCCTTCACAAGACACGCCCGAACTTTTGAAACCCTTAATTCACGTTGCTTGAAGCACGTCGCTTGCTGAAAATAGCCATGGGCCATGATGTCTGAGCTCTGTGCAGGTCTCTCCGACTTTGCCTGCGGAGCCATGGCATCTTGGCTGCCTAGCTGTGATGAAGAAGGTTGCAACTGCGACACTTGGCAGACTGCCTAGGCAGCATTACGGAGACTAGCCTGGAATGTACGAGTGCATCCTGAACAAGTCTATGCAAGCGACGAGTAATAGCAGGCAGACATTGTGTTTATCGGTACCCGATGACATAAGCAAACATGCTCGTTTGACCTTCAATAACCTGTGACACTTGGCTCAGTAATGAACTCGTAAGCAAACGGCTTTGAGGGAACTACCTGACTTATTGCTTTCGCTTGCAATCGCAAATGCTTGTCTCCGGCATCTGTACAGTCGAGACAGTTGGGGCCACCCAGACGGTTGGTCATGACAAGCTGCTGTAGCATAGTTTCGGTGACAGGGATACTCGGGTGCACAAGAATGGATCTCGCGTCCATCGACAAGATACAAAAGGGGTTACGAGCTAACCCTTCTCCACCCGTGCAGGTGACACTCCGAAATGTGGTGAAACGGTGTTCCAATTTCGTTTTCGTTAACAAGCTCCGACTTGTCCAGCGTATCTGTGTTTGCTCGTTCAAGTCGTGGCATGGCTTTAACATGCTCTCACATACAGTAAGGGGACATGCTTTTGCCGCCGGACGAGCAGAGAAAACCTCTCGAGATGGCAGCTTCATGCCTCAAGAATCTAGGTGTTAGGCAAGCTGAAAAGCTCACCGGTGGAGTGGTCATTTGAGGCGCCCGAGGAGGCCCTCTTTGGTCGCGGTCTGAGGTGTACATGCTGTATTGGTCGAGCTCCGCACAACACTCGCGGCCCTCGATAAGCACGGCACACAGGTCGAGGTTTCAGCGCTTGGGCCTTGCAAGATCCACTGGGATGCAATCCCGTTCCAAGCCCTTCTGCGCGATGATGGGGACATGACGTATCGTCTTTCAAGACGATGCTGGCGCAGCTCGATCGCCTTGCATCGTGGAAGAGTGCCACTGGCTGGGAAGAAAAGTCGAGTATCTCAGCTGCACACTGCACCACCCAGTGCAGTCGCTGCTGTTGCGATGCCTGGCTTCCAAGGTCAACTGAGACGTGTCTCCGAAAAGACGGTGATGGAGGATGCTGGATCTCTGTACGCTCACTCCACTTGCCTAAAAACACCAGAGGAGGAAGCTCCCACGAAGCTTCCGAGCACCTTGGAAGCAAGGCGAATGTCCAAGGCGAGTGCAGACGGGAGCACCATCATGAAGCACGGTGCGAATGCACAGGCGGTGCTGTGCGGCGAAATATTGCAAGACATGTTTCGTCGATGTGCCAACAGGCCCCGGCGACAACAGCAACTATCACATTGCAAAGACCCACATGAAGGGCTCATCGTGGCTAAGGTCAGGAGATGTCCTGAGGTCCCCAGCCACAAGTAGCCTTCGGGAGGCCTGCGCACCAAAGTACCATCCTTGCGGAGCGGGTAACGGCGGATAGCTGAACTATGTACGAACACTGGTGCAAACACGACCTGACAAGGTCGCAAGCGGAACCACAGGCGACTAGCGAGTTGCCAATTCTTCTGATTGAAGCCATTGTCAACACTTCCGGCCTCACAGTCCAAAGTCAAGTCCACAGCGCGGAAGATGTCGGATCCAAGCTGTCGAAGCAGGAGCGAGAAGACTCGGATTCGAGCAGCCCCCTACATCACTGCACTTCGTCTTTCGAGGATGTGCAAACCAGGGTGTTAAAGTCATTAAAGGAACTGCATGCCGACACGCCAGTGCAGCCGCCTGGGCACCGAAGCCCGCATTGCAAGCCAAACTGCAAGCTAGGCCGTCTGGTAGCAAAGAGGAGTTTGCTCTTGCTTCGCCTGGGTCAGAGAAAGCGTCCTTCGAATGCTGAAGACCGCGGAAAAGCAGCAGAGGGCAAAGCAGCTGCCCATTTTGAGCTTGTAGGCTTCTGGGCCTGCCAATAAGCGCTTGACTCCTTTCTCCCATGGCTTCTTGCATTCACCGTGATGCCAGCCTGTGAGATTTGATAGAAGGTCACTCACGTTGCAGGGTTCTGCCGGTCGACAGTACTGCAATCCTCGGCTTGCAAAGCATGGGCGGTCAGCTGCACGTGCACCTACCGACCTGTTCGATCCGAGCACCCTCAAAAGATCTCCTGAGCTTCGTACGCTCGTCCTCTGAAGCTGGCTCTCTCACAAATCCATGCCAGCATCTGCAGTCCTGGACGAGAAGACACTGATACTGCATCTGCTGAACCCGACAGAAATCCAAACCATGCAGTCAAAGACCGGAATTAGCACGCATGCAGGTCTCTCATGATAGACTTGGTCTAACATATAGCAAGCAGCGAACGACTCACGACGAAAAGACCACCAAGTCCTCGTGCCGGTGTCTGTGGAAACCAACAACGCCGGAATTGTTTGGGCAAGGAATGCATGACCTCAGTTCAACGAACAAATACAGACGACCGAGCTGATTCGGCGATTCGGTCCTAGGGATGCAGCAGCAACTTGTTGCTTGCATCCCGCAGCTCGTAGTACGTGTCCTCGGCACAGCTCCAGCTGTGAGACGTGCAGATGCACGCAATCAAAGTAGGTGCCGCGCATGACACATGCAGGCTTCGGCAGACGTCCTGGCGCAACGTGCACAGTGTCGACGTGGAAAGCTTGTCTACTTGCTATCGGCTCAGTCGGCTCAGGGAACCTGCCAGTCCCGTTCGTTTGAGACCCCGGAGGACATCTCGCACATGGCCAAGAGCCTTTCGAGCCAATCCGGCACTGGTTGGCACTTCGCACATAGCTACATTTGGCAACAAGTTTGAAACCGCTACCTGCCTTGACCCGATTTGTATGTCGAGAGTGGACATGGCCTGGGTTGGTGTGGCACGGGCTGCCTACCCGAACCAGTCATGAAGTTTCACTCATCCACCGATAGCTCCACTGTCAGTCTAACAGCATCTGCAACATAAGATGCTTGAGCGGCCCGTCACTTCGATTTCTTCAGTTCCTGGTGAATCTGCTCATCAGCTAGACTCGTCTTCTGGTAGAGAACGGCTCTTTGTGACAGAAACTCACTACCTCAAGTGCCGTTGAACCTGACCCGTTTTATGACAGCAGCCCCTCAGAACAGACCAGGTGAGTACAGCGCCAGCACTGAATAAGAAAACATTGAATAAGAAATCCAGCCCCTGGATTTGGGCGAACATGTGCTAGAATCTGTCGCAACCAAGCAAAAGGAAATAAGAAATTCAGNNAACCCAATTTCTTATCCAATTTCTTATATGCTGCTCCCAAAACCAGAAACGCAGGACCCTAAACACGTTACGGTATTTTGAAATTTGGGCTATCAGGGCCTCGGAATTTAAAGCTTCAGGGTCAAACGGACAGGAATTAGTACAGCGCGTAGAGCTTTAAAACTTTGCCGAAGGCAAGCAGTAGAGGTGAAGATTTGACATCCGGTCGCTTGGACGGGGTTTAAGGTCCTGCAGCAATTTGGCGAGAGTTTCGGAATTCGCCCGAAGGCAATGGGTGGAAGGTTGAAAACTTGACCTGGCATTTCTACCAGAAGCAGAGGAAATAAGACATCCAGGGGCTGAATTTCATATTTTCTTGGTTTTCGGCCGGACCAAAAA